TCTTTTTAAGTCAAGGAACACCGCAATTATTGGTCGACCATGAGTGTCGCGTACCTCGAAGGCTTGATACAGGGTGATCTGATCAGAATCCTGCTTACAGTCGTAAAACTTCATCTCCTTTAAAAGCGTCAGGCAGTAATGCACCAGAGAAATCGACAATTTTTTGACGATCGGAACAAAACTTATCACACAGTGGTTCAAACAGTCGTTACGTGACTATTTATTGCATCTGCCGGTATATCGTTTTTCACCAAATTCAGCAGGATTGGTGAACTAAGGCACCCTCGAAGAACACTACTCCTGGATTAGAACGATCTGCTTACCCTTATTCTACCAGTCTTTGACCATTCCCTGAGACAGCTGCTACTTCCATTTTACTCGCTACTGTTAACCCCCCCCCCTCAGTTTTCCCGGATCCTTCGTCAGGCTCTTCGTGAGCTGACGTTGCAGACGCCACCTACACTTGGTTTGATCATGGCGGGTCAGAATTTTTCGTTTCTTCTTTGTCAGGGCTACTGACTCATGAGATTTACAATACCTCCAGTTGGTTTAAATCTCAGACCCTTATGCAGCGTTCACTACGGGACGAATTGCTCGTCTAATTGCGTCAAAACTGATGCGCCATCAACTCAAATGCAAGTTGTTCAATAGGACTTGCAATTTGTTATCCAGCCAGGCCAACACTAGCTTACTGCTGTGGTCGATTTCAGTAAGCCTGTTAAACCAGAACACCATTTTGCCGTTCATCTATAGAGCCGTGTCAAAAGTTAGTGCTGGACAAGAATAACCGAAAATCTGTGAAGAACTGAAATAGTTGATCGCCGTTGTCTGTTCTTTGCTTGGACAGAGCGAAATGCAGTCCTAGACAAACTTCGGATGAGCTTAGTTTCAGTCTGCGCATTAAAATCGCCTGCCAGTACCATAATATCAGAGCTACGACTCAGCCGAATGAGTTCGGTTGGTTTGTCGTATATTATATTTTTTTTTACTTCCTTTTATTGAATACTTGATAAAATTTTAAGGGGGAAGCGACTAATCAAACGGCTGGTGGTGGTGATAGGATTTGAACACACGTCCTCCGGGGTGAGAATTTGGTGACGTTATCACTGGGCCACCACCGCTCAAAATTCGTCTTTTGTGAATAGGAACTGCAGTTGGTTGGTGTAAATGCAGAAATGATTGAAAAACACCTGTTGGTATTGCTTCCCTTTCAAACAACAGCTGAACCCTGGAGCCTCACTGCGCACAAACGGGGCATTCAATTTATCAGCGAGGCACCAGGTTTATCGTTCCGTACGATTCCTGTTCCACGCTGACCCGATGAGCGGGCTTCGTCGTCTCCAGATACACGAAAGAAATACCGCGAGGACGAATCCGGCGCACTTAGGTGGTTCATAGTACTACAATCCTGAATACGTGTGTCCGATAAATAACAAACATCGATCACTAAGGAGTCTGTTGTACGTGCCAAACAAGCTAGCTGCCCCAACTTCATCATAGTCCTCACGTTGAAGACTCCCAGATTTACAGGTTGATGAGGGTCGAAAATCTGCATTGTATTTAGTGGTAGACTACTTACAGCACTATTTGGCAACAAGCTTGACTGATGGAATTTTATGGGTAGGAATAAGCGGCAAAGAGAGAGGGTTTGGTATGGAAGACGAAGTACCGAACAAAAATGGGATACCTGAGCAGTAGCCCACTTATCACTACCCACTCAGCTCGGGCAGCGCAGTCCTGATTAGCCTGAGCAACGACTGATACAGTATGGAATTCGTTATGGTTTCTGTATGCACCAGAGTTTCGTGGACGGGTGCAGCCAGGGCATCCAGCGACTAAACAGGAAAACAATTAGTTATTAATCACAGCATCTAGTTCTGGCAAGAACCTGACCACAAGGTAGCGGGGGAAAAAAAGTGGAGGGTCATTTACTTAGATTGGTTACTCCTCTGCCATTTACCGTCTGAGACGCCGATTTGCTTTGAACCCCTAATATGGAGAAGTAGGAGACTGTACTATGTCTAATCTCTACGCTTTGACCTTCCAGGCATGATTAGTTCTTGAGTTTCACAAAATCCGGTTGAGTCGCAGAGGTGCACAAGCCATCAGACCACAGCCTCACAAACTCATCGTTTATTTGGCATCAATTTTCCTAGTAATAGACTACGGCCACATGATGAACAGTTGATTCCCGACGACATTCGTTTGATAATTTTGATAGTGGTCTAAGGAACAAATTTCCGAACAAAGGATGAAATATTAAGAAAAACAAATAGTTGGCTGTATACTGCGCCGCTCATTTATTTCGGACAAGCACACGAATGAAATACCGTCATCTTTATCATGAGTGTTGATGATGGTGGTGGTTGTAGTAGTAATGGTGGTGGTGTTGTTATCTGACATCACAGTCAAAACGTCACAGAACTGAGCATCTTTGACAAAACTCAGCTTACGCGATGGCGTTGTCACCGCCTACGCCCCCAGTGCACCCAATGGGGACAATCGGGCTCGAGGCGCTGATAACTAGTAGCCTTGGATGGGTGGATAGATTATAGATGGGTAGATAATTCGATCAGGCATTGGTTCTGTGAATGAGTGATAGGTTGAACATGTTTGTGACAGGGAGAGATAAACGGATGCATTTACACCCGCCAAAATCCACCTTGCACTGGATCTGAAGTACATTAAAAGTAACCTTCAATTACTTACAAGTTAATGAGTAGTGTGAACATGAATGCAGAAAGTTACTGGGGTCGAGGTATGACGCACGAGAAAGCCGACAAGCACATGGGGGTTGCAGTGTGTGGTAACCGTGTTCGTGTGCGTAGGATGACACGAACGTAAGCCGATATAGTGGGACGGACGGACATGGAGTGGTTTGGCAGAAAAGGAGGAAACTCCAAACACGCTCATAAGATGAGAACCAAATGGGACATAGGAACCGTCAAGCTATACAAAGGAGGAAATGATGTTCGAAAAAAGGAGTGAAGAGCAAGCGGTGTTGAACACCAAACAAAAGTCAAAAAACAATCGGAACCTGGCAGGAGGTCATGCACGAAGCCCAGTAGTCACAAAACAGAGAACTCTCGAAAAGATAACCGGTGTACAACGGAAGGTACGGGGGTGAGCGCGTGGTCCACCACTGAGAGACAAGGTGTTGTATGTCACTTGTGTATGTTCTGTATTTTACTGGCAAGTGAGTAAATCAAATATCCATCAGTTAGTTGATAGATAGAGGAGCAAACAGGAGACAAAGAGAGAGGGGAAGGAACAAGTCGGTACGTAGGCAGTTCTGAACGATCATAAGCGACCGTGATTTGTGTGATGAAAATCTTAAGGGTGAGAATCGAGACCCGATTCGCGGATAGGGAGAATAGAGTATGGCCCATGATCGTGCTGCATACGCCATGTGACAAGCACTCATGCGCGAGCACACACGCACATTGTTGCAACTGAGAGAGGGAGAGATGCTCGAGTCGAAATGCTCATAATGGAATGGTGGGATAAAAGGCTGTCGCAAAGAGAGAGATGTTGTTTTGTAGTAGTTGATAGTAGTAATGGTAATAGTAGTAGTAGTAGTAATAGTAGTAGTAATAGTAGTAGTAGTAGTAGTAGTAGTAACAGATGCAGTCTTAGTAGTAGCAGTGATGATTTTGTGGCACTACAACCGAAATAAACGGTGCCTATGACACAAATTATCACGTGCGTCAAGAGGATCACTGACAGCGAGAATGCGGATGATCGAAGAGGTAATACGTGACATGTGTTATGTGTGTGCATGCGTTCGCGAAAACAGGGCGTGAATGGNAATGGATCGTAATGTGTCAAACGCATCCACAGAGAGAGCGCGCTCATGGGGGAGAGAGACAGAGCACGTGCCCCGTTTACGAACCGGTACTACCCGAGTGCATGGAACTGTTCATTCCGCTATGACTGGTGGAGCGCTGTTTGTTGATACGGGCGCGTTCATCCGGAGGAAGATTCGGCTTGTTGTATTTGAGCCACGGAAGGGACTCGTTGAAGATCTGAGAACAGGTGTCGAATGGATTGGAAAGCAAGCAAGCAGGGGGATGTGTAAGTTGAGTAGTTATCAAAGTTATTATTGGAACTCATGTGACTAACAGAACGAATGAATAAAGCCAGCGGAAAAAGTTGGCAGTAATCTTTGAGCTCGTCCAACCAATGCTGAATGAATCAGTTGCACACAATTCTGAGGGGAAAAACAGCGGCGGAAAAGGCTGTTTTCAGTGGCTCATCTAGTGGCTAATTCATCACAGCTTACATTTTGTAAGAAAAAAATAGTTTTCATTACAGAGTGAAAGGAAAAGACCCGCTTCAGTTTCACGACCACAGTGGGAGCAACATTTGGCAGTGGAAGTGAAAAGCGACTCTGTTCTGTGTGTCTTGAATCGTTATCCACGAAAAGTAGAAATAAGTTATGATTGAAGTAACCAGTGGATAAACCACAGAAAACGAGCTGCTGCTTTTTAATTTTCCGTCATGAAAAGGTGTTCCACCAAGTTGATCTATTTGCATACGTAAATTCAGGAGGATCGGGAATCTACGATGATACGCGAAAAATAGGGATTCTACCCACTAGTTACGTGATGATTATTACAGTCGAGAAACGGAATTGCAATGAACACCACTTGAATGATTCCAATGATTCCAACATCGGAATAAATAGGGACGGATAGCTCAGATCAAACTAGAGGGGATAATACATAAATATTATCCATATTATTATTATTATTATTATTATTATTATTATTATTACGAGTGGTGATTGTACCGCTTCTTCATCCGCTTGGACAGAGACCATGTTACCAATGGTCTGCCTACAGCAGAATGGCAACAAAACAATTGGCACACAACGTTATGAATCACTAAGTAAGTCGACGTCTGAAATCGGCCTCTGATTCCTCACGTTTGAAATAAATCGGCAAAAACCGTCGATATGAAGATAATAGTAATGCCGAAACAGGTCAACAGTTAGTCCTGATCACCGAGTGATCAGGCGTCATATTGGTTACAATTTCCCTGTTATGCCAGCTCATCTTGCAACATCACATCGGTCTTTCTATAACGTTGTTGTCCACTGATGCGTAGTCAGGCGTATTCCATAGTGAATCGAGAAGTTTCATAATAAATTCCGGTCTCGTTGGCTGCTTTTGTCGACAATGATTGAATGTATTGATTGGTATCAGAGTGGTAATAAACCAGTAATCCCTTTTGTCCCGAAAAAACACAGGGTCAGCGGTGTGATATAAATAGAAGAAAAACGGATTGGAACCAAGGGGCAGCCCCACACTCCATTCCGAAATTGTAGTTCAATGTTTACAGCTAGGTATGGAATTTCGAGAGCATAGCACATTTGGAATCGTTACAGCGGCTGTACACCAGGTCGAATGGGATCTGGCACACCTACCGCAATCACACCCGTGCTGGGTACGTGTCATGCAACAGGAATAGGCAAAGTGGAAGCAGTGGAGAGGACAAGGTAAGATGCGAGGCACGATCCGTGGACTGAGGCGGGACTGGCAAGGGCGCAAGGTCAAAATCTAGGCCAATGGATTAAACTTTCTGACCAAATGTATCACTCCTACGATCAATGAAATAGGCGAGGCGGGGAGAGTGAACAAGGTCCCAACAGATGTCGATCGATAAGCCACTTCTGTTATAAGCTTTACAGTCTGGTGTGCATACGATTACTATGGACAGTAAGGTGCACGAGGCGCGGCTGGGAGCTGGCCAGTGAACGTGTATCCGTGATTAGCCGATCGAGGGATTCCGATTTGTGAATTGACCTTTCTTTCGCATACACACAAACACACGCACGCACGCACACACAACTACACACTCATACAAACAGGCATATCATACATTACTAAGTTGTTGGCGCAAGACGAGCAAACCAACAGCAAAAACAGACATTTCTGAAATCAAAGGTTGTTGCCAAAGTGATGAGGAGGGGAGGGGGTGTCTCGTCAAACAAACAGTTGCCATCAACACGAGTCTGGCGACGATCAGCAGAGCCAGCAGAAGTTGTCAAACTCACCTGGACATCACCGCCACCAGGTCGATGATTCGCGTTTTTCATAGAACCCACTTTCGGCTTCGCGTTTTTGTCGAAGTCCAACTTTTGAGTGACAATCTATCAAGATGTCAGGCAGAGGAGAGCAGGGAAGAAATCGAATTTGGCATGAAACTATTTTCCTACAAAATTATTTTCCGTTGTTTGGCTACTTGATTAGTGCTAGCAGTGGGGGTGTGGCTTAGATTGGCGCTTGTGGTCAAAAAAGTGTAGTGTGGTGTTTATACACAGAGGGGGTTAGTTACGGATATTGCATTATGCTATTCAGATCAAACTTCAGCCCCCGATATCATTGTTTTGACAAAATCAGCTCCCTTGAAGATGTTGTTGGCGTAATCTAACTCAGATTTCCACAGCAACCAAGCATTCAATAGACATGAGACGAAAAGAAGATCGCAGATTAACGAATTTATCCAACGCAACATTATCGATCCATAAGCAAAAATATACTGAGACGATAATATTTAATTTTTTTCACTTAAATGATTATTTGATGAGGACATACGCTCAGGGGCGAACAAGTGTTTTCTCGGATTCATCTTCTAGCCTGATGAAAGCGAAATGTTAGAAAAGCAAGTTTTCACGTTCGATCAAAGATCACATCGATTGGTGGTGTGACGTGTTTCACAGCCCGATGAATGCATACCTTACGAGCGAAAAGGAACTCTACGCCCAGTTGATTAGGGAGGCAGAAAACGAAGCAAACTTGAACACGGCTTAGACCGTATCACACCCCAATGACGTGTTCTAACACAGCCAGAACGCTATGTGCACAATCAGCCCAAGTTAAATGTGAGTGCCATTCTCGTGTAAGCCCTCTCGCTCGGCGTGAATTTCTGCTATCCTCGTAAAAATGATAGTCCAGCAGAAATGAATGCACTACTTGAGAATCTTCTTTTGCACAGACACGGAGTTTGATGCCTAATTAATTCATTAGATCAACGATTAGAGTTCACCTTGGTAACTCGCTGCTATCGATTGCACAAGCACAGCTTATATGGTCACCGATCACTGACTCCAAAACACTGCGTGACAAACCTAGAAGAAAGGCCAAAATGCAAGCCCTTTCAGAAAGCTCAGAAGAAGAAGCTGTTTAGTAAACCTCGTTTAAAGGAGACAGCATGTCTAAGCTGATTAGAGGAAGTTTGGTGCGAGTGTAGAGAGGAGCATTTATCGTAGCCAGTCTATCATGAGCATATACAGTGTCATTAATAATAAAACTTTCCACGAAAGACAATTATTGTAACGTATACTACTTTGACCGAACGGTAAAGCAACTGATCCAATGGATTAAGGGGAACGTTCCACAATGGCTTTGACACAGCAGAAAAGATATCACAGTAGGTGCTATTCAAGCTCACCTAGAAAAACTCAGGTCACCAAGTGGAGCTTCAATCGGCCTTCACAGTTATCCACTGCATACCACCTCATCCATCCAAATCGCCGCGTCTTCCCGATCGGGTCAGTGCGGAAGCGATCAATAATCGTTTGTTCAAAGAACAGATTGGACCATGCCATCCAACTACCATAGCCGGAAATCGATCGCAGTTATGATACATTACAACCGAATCGCGGTGTTGGCGTGACTTATTCGTGTAACACACTTGGTACCACCCGCTCCCACCCCATCCTCCCTCTCTTCACCAATCACTCGACCGTTGATCGACTGACATGTCACTTCGTGGAATGATCTCCACCGGATTTCAATAAAAAATTTTACCTCAAAGTGTGTTCTCGTATCCTAATTAATATATTCTGGAATCTGAACCCTATTTTCTATGGCAGTGATAGGGTGATTTTAGCCATCTAGGTTCGTAAAGGGGATCACGGCCGATTAGAGTAAACTAGGGCGAACTTGACTGGATTCGTACTTATTAACTGACAAAATACGGTAGGCGGACCGTTATTATCATTGGACCACCACACATCAACCAACAAACAGTACATAGGAGATAAAGACCCTCGGCATTGGCGTCACTTTTAAAACAGTCCATACATATACTAATGACCGATTGCAATCAGTGTTCCTCTCGCCCCCGTGACAGATTATCAGCCTAACAAAAGTATGAACTGAAAGGCTAGCAAACTCAGTAACTGATAAATCCCGTAAAAAGATAGGTTTTCTGATTACATGCAATATGATGAACAATGGTAGGGTTGAGCATTTACCACGAAGTCAACCCCGAAAACCGGCCAGTCAACTCCGGTGATTATGAGGTTTTCACCCTGTCAACTGTTCACCGAACTAATCAAGTGAGAAGAACATAAAGGGAAAATACAAAATTTGATTAAACTACAAAACCGTTGGGCAATTTTATTTTCTTAAGTTTCAGTTCCGACTTGTTTGTCTAAACCGTCTGACGATCTGTCTTTTTAGTGAGGCGGTGTAGGTTCAGCGGACTGGGTCACCGCCACCGTCTGCACAAACACACCTGATGGTCCGAAGCTGTCAGTTGGTCGGTCGGTCGGCCAGCCGGTCATCTCAATACCATAGCAAAGTACGTTGGTAGGTAAGATTCACCAAAGAGTATCAGGATTCATCGAACCTTGGATACGTAAATAAACATCAGTTCACATTCTTTAACCGACAACTCAACGCGGTTCGACACCAACGGCCATGTGTAATCAGCTGGCCTAGGTGAGAGGATGAAAAGTCACTATTATCATGGACTTTCAACTTTCTGAATTGACAACTAAAAGAAAGCCATGTAGATTAAGACAAGGTAAATAAATGAATAAACCCACCTTCTGACAGAAATGGGACACACCAAACAAAGACACGAGCAGAGGCCTGGTGACCGCAATGACAGTCTATCATCGGGAGACGCAAATAAATTAAACAAATAGTTTTATCCTTGGAACAGAGAGAGAACCGGCCAAAAGACGAACACGAAATAAAAGACTTCACCATATTCGTGACTGGATTTAGGGCCGTAAAAATCGCTCATGGTGAACTAGAGGCGTTAGATGTCACATGGACCACTTCCACATGATAGGGATGTGAGGGGTGGATTAGAAGGGGATGCAATCAAACCACACCAACAGCGATTAGTCGTGTGCTCACACAAGGTGAAGTAGCACGGCGGGGGGATTAGCATAACCGCAGACAGTAACAGATCAGAGAAAACCAGGAGGCATACGTGTGGCGGTTCACTTACCTGGACGTTACCACCGGCCGGTACGTGTTTGGCATTCTGTAACGAACCAACCCGAGAGTGAGCTGAGCTCATGTCGATCTTCTCGTCCACGATCGTCACATTTCCACCGCCTGTTCCAATGGATGCGTGGAAGGGAAGGTGAAGGAGAGAATTCAGAAATGAACTCACAATACGTAAATGTCACCAATCACAGCTTAATTAGTGTATATGTTCATATTTATCACCAGCTTGAGAGCAATATTGATACCAATGCAGAAAGAAGCGGAATTGTGAAAGATTTTCAACTGATGGTACCCTTCAAGGGAACACAATTTTATGAATTCTTCCACATGCAAATAGACACATTACATAAAGATATCACTGATAACAATAAAGGTATCGGAGTTTCCTCTGTCCGGAATGCGACACTGCATTAAGCGGCCAATCAGACCGACTAGACCTGACTTTCCCCGGTGGATATGGATTATCAAACGGGATCTCATGGAAGGGGGAATTTTGTTAAGCAGTGGAATGTTTGGAGGTGTGAGATGAAGGGGTAACAACACTGTGCGTGTGTGAAGGTCACCGAGGCATCTTTTTTCAAGGGCCTTAAGAAATTGATCGTTATTCAATGATGAAAGTGACGGATGAACAGCAACATCGTGACCTCAGTGGAGTAGTGATTTATTCCGTTCCAAAAATATCTTCTATTGATCATCAGTGCATTCAGAATAATGCGAAAAACATCACGTATTCTTGTGTTCAGGTGTACATTTATGAATGTGTCTATGCGTTTCACGAGCGTCTGATGCCAGACCATGTGCCAAATAAATCACGGTACGATGATCCTTGAACCAAAGACAAAGATTCATGATTTACTAGTGTGCGTACCGCTGATAGGTTATTCAGACCCAAGCAGAGGATTTCACAATTGGAGCTTTTGACGAGCCAAAAGCCAGACTCGTGAGGTAAATGAGTGAAGTTTGGAAACCGCAATCCGTTCGGGGATGGAGAAATATTCAGCTCATTAAATCTCACGGCCTCTGGACGGGATCAAACATTCGAGGTAAGCAATAAATTTCGAAGCCCGATCAAACCAGTGACCATCGACACAACCAGGACGGCATGTGTTTCATGCGCTCCCCTCGGTTGGTTTAGCATCAAGGGTTTTTNAACTCTCCTGAGTAAACGACCAGTGGTTCACCGACCCGGCCTTAGCCCAGGACACTGGTTTTTCTTCCCTTCACTTTGGTCCATCATGATGAGACTGCACCTTGACGTGTTGTGATGGCTTGCGTGCCTCCATGACCCTGAGAGCTATACAGGATGGCGTTTTACAGCCCCAGATCCAACCATGCTGAAAGGTCAAAGGGTAGAGGCCAGACAAAGCTATTTCACAAAGCCAGCTGCTTGCGCAACTCCTGGCTTCCTTCATCTATCCACTCCCACCCCTGGAGAGGTCACTCCAGCAAATAAACACGGTGAGGGGCAGTTTACCGGTCAAAAAACCCGTTAGATGGGC